CTGTGTGCCCGCCCGCCCCCCACCCACCCATAGGAGACACTTGGAAAAGTCTGGAGACATTTTGATTATAACAACTAGGGCAGGGGTCACTGGCCAGGGATGTTGCTCAACATCCCACGGTCCACAGCACAGCTGACCCACCATAAGGAATTATCCGAAATGTCAATACTGTCAATGTTGAAAAAAATCCTCACCTGGAGGGCACAAGGGGTTTGGAGAAAGGGAACAGAGACAGAGCTGGTGAGAAGGCACGTGTTGTCCTGCTTCCCCAGCGACACTGGGTTCTTGACGGGTCCAGCCTAGCTCACCAGTAAAATCCAGACTGTCTGACCCACAGCTGAAGTCTAAATGCACCACTCCTGAGGTCCTTGGGCTGTTCCTGTCGTCTACATAAAAGTTAAGTTCCCACATCTTCCAAACCAAGAAGTTAGGGGATGAGCTCTTGAAAGAGCTGCTGTTGAAGCAGAATGTCCAAAGGCTGAAGAGATCTTGGCAGACAGAAGCGGTATTTGCCTTTTCCCGACTTCAGCAAATACACTACCTTTTTCTTTCAGTAACGTGCTCTCGGTTCAAAACAAGTTTCTCTTCTAAGCTCCAGGCCCCCGGTTCATCCCTGTAGCTGGGCAAGATTTTACTAAGGTAATGAGGGCTTTAGGGTAAAGGAAGGAAATGAAAAGCCTGAGAAGCCACAGTATAGAATGAGAAGTTGTTAAATAAACAAGTCGGGCTGAACACTGACTGCCAGTTGCTATAAAACCCGATTTCTCTTAGCTACAGCTTACCTCAGGAACCGTCTAGCCAGCAAATATGAACTGTCTATGGGCTGTCTGAGGCAACGCTTGTGAACAAAGAAAAATTAGCTTTTCTGTAACCATGCGTAACGATGTGTATCTCAGGAGGCTGACAGGACAGTAAGTGAAAATGGCCCTTTTGAGGCTGCACCACCAACCAAATTCCATGAATAGGAAATACTGAAAATAGCTTGAAACCAATTCTTTTTTTCCTGTTGGCTATTCATGTTTCTTTTTGTGGCTGTACTACATGATTGAAATCCTGCGTCCTAACTGCGGCCGTCAACAATGAATCTTCAGGGAGCAACCAGCACCTTGCTGACAGTTTTCAAGGGAGTTTCCACATATGGGAAAATGACAGTAGAAAGTTCCTAGTTAAATGAAGGCGTGGGGGAATCGGAGGGGGAGACGAACCATGAGAGACTATGGACTCTGAGAAACCAACTGAGGGTTCTAGAGGGGAGGGGGTGGGGGGATGGGTGAGCCCGGTGATGGGTATTAAGGAGGGCACGTTCTGCACGGAGCATTGGGTGTTATACGCAAACAATGAATCATGGAACACCACATCAAAAACTAATGAAGTACTGTATGGTGACTAACATAATAAAATAAAATTTAAAAAATAAATAAAATTTAAGTTTTTGGGGAAAAAAAGAAAGTTCCTAGTTAATTTAGGAATACACGTGTAAATAATTTGAAAATACTTCCCATCCGCTAGAGTAGAAGTTCTTTCCCTTCATTTTATCAAATTCATACTTTCCCACTATAGTATCTAACCTACTATAGTTACACTATAGTAACTAACCTACATCCTACCTGATATAGATTAAAGCCATCCAAAGGAATTGCAGGTAGAAGGCAATCCTTTTTAAGGTAACCTCATAGTCATACAAATGTTAGCATCCTTCCCTTTACAGAACAATTTACCACCACAAGTCTTTGTGCACATTCAAAATGCTATTTAAATCAAAAGTGTTCTATGAACAATTCCTCAGGTAAAGTCAAACATGCTTGTATGTTAATTCCTTCTTTAAAAATCAAGGAATAGCTGGATAATTATACTATATTTAACCACAGACTGGGAAGTGAGTCAACAGTTTTTTCACTGTTAGCACTTGAATAGGATTAAGTCTGTGAATGAAAAAGAAATTGCATCAGCAATTCTAGCTGAAGCAGTACGGCAGGAGGAGAGAGGCCAGACTGCTTGTTTCCTTTCTCAGAAGTCAGGCAGTACTGGCATCGACCTCCCTGAGATCTCCTGATCCGTGGCTCTGGATTACTTTAAACAACTTGACAAGTCCTGTAACTGGTCTGGCCACTACTGATGGTAATTTTGGCTATTAGCAATAATCACCCTACTAAAAAACTTCTACTACCACCTCTTTTGTTCTGACAGGATATACTCTGCAAGGTCAGAAATCAGTTTCCACAGCTCCTGAAGATTGCTGCCAGACATGCTTTTAAAAATAATTGTGGGGGTGGGGGGAGCAGGGGATTGCCTTAACTGTTCAGAAATTTACTGAAGGACTACCATGTACCACGCATTGCACACAGAGACGCAATGGAGTCCCCTCTCGAGTAGGAAAAACATGTAATCCAATACTTTAATACTTTCCTGTTCAAAAACTTTAAATATTAAACAAATTCACATTTTTAGTCTACTTCCTCCATCTACCGTTTCCTTTGGTCATTCTGTGGATATCAGATTATGGGCCAAAGCATGGGGTTGAGATGGGGGGTGTCACTATTGCACAGCCTTTATTTTGTTCAACCTCATTTTTTTTCTTGATGTTGAAAGAACTGGGAAAGACGACCTTCACTATGTTGTTGTTCTGAAACTAAGAAGCAAAATGAACACAATAAAATAGAATATATGAAAATACTTTATAAAACTGTAGTGTAAGGCAATATTGAACCGAAAACTTACTATTTACAAATATGAAATATAAACTGTCAGCCTTAGGCTCTCCATGATATACCTAACCAGCTTTAATCAGGGCAAACCAGTTTTCAACAAAGATTACCTGTAAGGGCATCATAGTCAAATATCTTTTTTTGATATGAGCAGTAACTAAATATCCTACAGTCACCACTAAAAATTTCTATTGTGTCCTCTGACCCAACAACTGCACAAACCTACATTCCCAAAGTAAGGACACTGAACCATTATTTATAAAGCACACTTTCCCATTTCTTATTTTTCATTTTCCAGGAAGAACAGTGGGTTATGATGAGTTATACCTTTGTGTCTGCAGAATCTTGAGAAATGTGTTTTCATGCAAAAGTACCTAATCCCCAAGGAACCACTCCAGCTAAAGTAATGTTCAAGTTACTTGAGCATTCTGAATTCGACTTTGACTCCTGATCCCCAAAAGGGGCCACTTGTTCCTTTCCACCTCAGCTGCACCACAGCCTGGTAGCTATTCCCAAAACTCTCTGCTTATTAAGACTAGATGTGCTAAATAGACTTCCTTTAAGCTGTTAGTGGCAGAGAAGAGCAGGCTGTTCACAGAATCACCCATGAGCACAGGCACACCTCGTTTAATTGCACTTTGCTTTATTGTGTGCTTCATAGATACTGCATTTCTTACAGATTGAAGGTTTCGTGGCAACTTTGCATCAAGCAAGTCTATTGGTACCATTGGTATAAAACAATATTCTTATACGAATCAGCAATTCAAAATGCCCTCGATCAAGCAATACTAGTAATGTCGGAAATGGCAGTTCTCAAAATTCACTGTGATCTTTGATTTTCAGAATGCTTGGATTCTTTATAATAGTATTTTTCAAGGTGACTAAATATTTTTTCTATTCTACAGGGAAATGTCATTCATGAACCATCAGTTGAAATTCACTTTTTTCTAGCCAAATAAAACACCTATTTTAAAAGGCTGCTGGTATCTGGATAGCTATCTGAAATTGGTTGAATTATTTCATACATTACCTAGACAAGAAAGCAATTTTGTAACCAGAAATAGATAAACTACATAAACAAACAACCTCTCAGACTCACAAAGGGCTGTAAGGCTTAAAAATAACCACAGTCATGGAAAATGTTACTTTGTATGGAAAAATTTTACTTTATTTTGTAAAAAGTAATGTTTTGAGTATATTTACTCTACTCTTTCAAAGTAATGCAAGTACAATGATAAGCACTGAATAAAAAGTACCCTGCTTTATGAACTTATTTTTAATACACTGAAGGCATACTGCTTACTGAAGGTAGAAATATGGGATCCAATTATAAAACTTAACACATAAAACACATACAACTGAATAGCTGTGAAAAAATAGAGGATTAATCAAAATATTCTGTTTAAAAATATTAAGTTCAAGTTAAGTGGGAATTTTATGCATAAAAATCATACTGTATAGTCAGAATGACTCCTCAGTGGTCATTCCTGAGAAACAAGTAGTAACTTCAGTTAAAAGTTAACGCTTAACTTGTTTTCCAAAGTACTTTCAGAACTTCGCTATTCAAATTAAAATAAAATATTTTAACAATTCATTCCGAAGACGTTATTTAGTTCTCATCCCAAGACATCTTCTTGTGATGTATAAATAAATCTGCTAGCAAAAAAAGAGTAAGAAAAAAACAATCTAGGAAAAGAAAATAGTTCAATTGAGTCAGAGAACATGTGATCTTAGATTACTGTCTTTTTTTTTTCCTCATTTCTTTTCACGAAGGCTTCTGAGACTGAAACAAACCTGCAGGGAGTTCACCTGGGTCTGCATTTTCTCTCAATCTCTTGGCTGTGACACAGCACAGGGAAACACGAATGTCACCCTATCTCACCAGACGGGAATATCTAACCTCATTCGGCCCTGGGCAGCAATGAGTAACATTACAAAAGTGCCTAAAGTCTATAATTACTCAGGAACAAAGTGGACTTCTCTAGTGATGATTTTACTGTACTGTTTTGTTGCCTTAATACCAATGAATCATCAAAAAAAAAAAAAGAATTAAAAACCTGAAATTCAAACTATCAGTAGACAACCGTTCCAAAGTTGGGAGAAGTAAAGATAGGCCCAACCACGTAAAGTCTCCCTCTTCCATTCCTACTCGACACAATTCATTTTTCCCGTAACGATCCTAAAGAGAAACCCAAGTTTCCACCCCTACTGCACCAAGAAACAGCGCCACCTATTTGCAGCGCACGGCTCGGGCGCTCCGGGAGGCGAGCGGGAGGTCCGGAGCCCACGCTTGCATCAATCAGCCTGGCCCCGCCCGTTTTCAGTCCGCGCGTGCGCCTGGGGGGCTTCCGGGGCCGACACCGGGGGCCCCGCGGGCCTGGCTGCAGCTGCGGCTGCGCTTGCGGCAGGCGGGGACGGCCCGGCGGCGCACAGTGGAGTCCGCTTCAGTTTTATCACTCTGGGCGGGGTGGTCTTCTTGTCGGAGAGCAGGACCTTGGCGGGGGGTGGGTGCGCGGCTCCGTTTTCAGCGCTCCCGGCCCCACGAAGAGCCTGGGGCTGCCCGGGCTGCGCAGTGCCCGCGGGGGACGGAGCCTTCGGCGGCGCCGAGCGCAGCGCTGCCTTTCCGCCCGCAGAATGGAGGGCGCTGGCCGAGGACACCCTGACCGACGCCGAGTTCTTGACTTTAATTTGGGTGCTGGTGGAAGGGCCCAGGAATCTGACTGGCTTGGGACCAGTTTTACAGTTCACACCTTCGTCTTCCTCTTCATTGAAAGCCATCAGTCGCCTGTGAATACAGAAGCACGTCATGGTCAGCGTTTACAGGTTGGGTGACCCATGGAAACGTCTCCAAAGTTTTATCTTCAGGGGCAAAATCGTTTTCAAAAAGAATTTGAGTCAAGAGGTTCGGAGGGATCAGACTACCTCATCTCCTCTCCCACCAAGGTCAATAAGTAAATCACCAAGTTTACGTAAGATTATTTCTGCTTGAATACAAACTCTTAAAATCACCATGTTAATATGAACGACGAATTAAAATTTAGTATGTTACACCGGAATTATACACTACATCACTTGGTTCCTAAGAATCCTCACGTGATCCAGAGAATAACCAGGATGATCCCAAGTTGTCGTTTTTTTTAAGAGATCTACTGAGGAAGTTTACTGAGTGTTTCACAGTCCAATAAACTCTTTGCTATTGCATATTTTACTGTCCTCTTGAAACTTTACACTCTATATTAACAAAGGTTCTGGGGTCTCAAGTAAAGACACTTGTTTAACTTTGTTGGATCCATATTTCCCAATAATTCTGTAATGCAACATTTGGCACCCAGTAAAATTAGCATTCTGCGAAAGTTATTTGGGGAGCTGCTAGAATGGTCAAACCCATTTGAATTTTTTAATTTGAGAGGTACTGGACAAACCTTCAAAGATTCCTGAATTGAGTTTGCCATTCATTATAAAAAGTCTAAAGGCAGAGCAGTGTTTCTTTTTTTAATTTTCAAAAAATTCGATTTATTTAAACAAACCCACCCTAGTTTACCCATTTCTTCCTTCCCCCACCCCTTGCCTCTGACAACCACCAATCAGTTCTTTGTATCTATCAGATTGGATTTTTTTTTTTTTTTTTTTTTGCTCCACATATTAGATTACATGGTATTTGTCTTTGAGTTATTTCACTTAATGCCCTCAAGGTCCATCCATGTTGTCACAAATGGCAAGATTTCATTCTTTTTTTATGGCTGAATAATATTCCACTGTGTGTATCACCTCTTCTTTATCCATTCATCCATCAATTGACACTTGAATTTTTCCATATTGTAAACAATATTGCAGTGAACATGGGGGTGCATATATCTTTTCAAATTGCTCTGCATTTTTTGGTGATACCAGAAGTGAAATTGCTGGATCATTTGGTAGTTCTGCCTTTAATTTTTTGAAGAACCTCTCTACTATTTTCCACAGTGGCTGCACCAGTTTACATTCCCACCATAAGTGCACAGGGGTTCCCTTTTCTCCACATTCTTGCCAACATTTGTTATCTCCTGTCTTTTTGGTAATAGCCATCCTAACAGCTCTAAGGTGATATCTCATTGTGGTTTTGATTTGCATTTCCCTGATTATTGATGTTGAGCATCTTTTCTTGTACCTGTCAGCCATCTGTATGTCTTCTTCAGAAAAATGTCTATTCAGATTTTCTGCTCATTTTTTAATCACTTTTTTTTGCTACTGAGTTGTATGAGTTCCTTATATATTTTAGATATTAGCTCCTTAACAGATACATGATTTGCAAATATTTTCTCCCATTCAGCAGAAAGTCTTTTGATTTTGATGGTTTCCTTTGCCATCCAGAAGTTTTTTAGTTTGGTACAGTCCCACTTGTTTATTTTTGCCTTTGTTGCTTTTGCTTTTGGTATCAGATACAAAAAAATCATTGCCAAGGCCTATGTTAAGGAACTTATTACTCTATTTTCTTCCAGGAGTTTAGGACTTCAGATCTTATCTTCAAGTCTTTAATCTACTTTGAGTTAACTTTTGTGTATCGTGCAAGATAGGGATCCAGTTTCATTGTTTTGCATGTGGATATCCAATTTTCCCAACACCATGTATTAAAGAGACTGTCCTTTCCCCATTGTGTATTCTTGGCTCTTTTTGTTGTAAACTAGATGACCATATATGTGTGGCTTTATTTCTGGGCTTTCTATTCTGTTCTTCTATGTGTCTGGTTTTATGCCAATACCATACTGTTTTAATTATTATAGTTTTGTAATATATAGTAGTCTGCCCTTTCTGCAGTTTCAATCACCCATAGTCAACCATGGTCTGGAAGCAGATGATCCTCCTTCTGACTATCATCAGAATGTCAATAGTAGCCTAACGCTATGTCACAATGTCATTCATACTATGACTACTAGCCTAATGCTATGTCTATGTTATTCACTTCACTTCATCTCATCATATAGGCATTTTATCATCTTACATCATCACAAGGATGATGTACAATAAGATATTTTAAGAGACCACATTCAGATAACATTTATTACAGTATATTGTTACAACTGTTCTATTTTATTAGTTATTGCTATTAATCTCTTACTGTGCCTACTTTATAAACTAAACTTGATCACAGGTATGTATGTATAGGAAAACACATAGTACATATACAGTTCAGCACTGTTGTGGTGGTTTCAGGCATCCACTGGGGGTCTTGGAACATATCCTCTGTGGATAAGGGGGGGACTATGCTAATTTGAAATCAGGGACCATGAGGTTTCCAGCTTTGTCAAATCTTCTTTCTCAGGATTGCTTTGGCTCTTCATGATCTTCTGTGGTTCCATACAAATTTGAGGATTGTTTGTTCTATTTCCATAAAAAAAATGCCATTGGAATTTTGATAGGGAATGCAGTGAATCTGTAGATTGCTTTGGATAGTATGGATATTTTTTCAATATTCTTCCAATCCATGAGGACAGAATATCTTCCCATTTATTTATGTTTTCTTCAATTTCTTTCACATCTTAGTTTTTAAAAACAGGTCTTTTACCTCCTTGGCTAAATTTATTCCTAGATGTTTTATTCTTTTTGGTGCAATTGCAAATGGGATTGTTTTCTTAATTTATCTTTCTGATAATTCATCCTTAGTGTATAGAAACAAGATTTTGATGTATTAATTTTGTATCCTGCAAATTTACTGAATTTGTTTGTTAGTTCTAACAGTATTGATGGAGTTTTAAGGTTTTCTATGTATAATATCATGCCAACTGCAAATAGTGCCAGTTTTACTTCTTCCTTTCTAATCTGGATGCCCTTTATTTCTTTTTCTTGCCTAAATGCTCTGGCTAGGACTTCCAGTACTATGTTGAATAAAAGTGGTGAGAGTTTCTTGCCTAAATGCTCTGGCTAGGACTTCCAGTACTATGTTGAATAAAAGTGGTGAGAGTGGGTATACTTGTCTTGTTCTAACCTTAGAAGAAAAGCTATCAGCTTTTCACTTCTGGGTATGTTGCTAGCTGTGGGCTGTTCATATATGGCTTTATTATGTTGAAATGTAGTCCCTCTATTCCCACTTTGTTGAGAGTTTTTATCATGAATGGTTGTTGAATTTTGTCAAATGCTTTTTCTGTATCTATTGAGATGATATGATTTTTGATGTGGTATCAAAACCATGTGATAGATTTGTTTCAGTTCATGATGGTGATGTAGGAAAATCTTGAACTTATCTCCTCCCACAGATACACTGAGTCTAAATCTATATATGGTACAATTTCCTCTTAAAAATTAAAATCCTAAAGAATAGCTGAGTGACAACTACATATCATTAGTAGAAGGAAGGAAATAAAAATTCGAGCAGAAGTAAATGAAATAGAGGCTATAAAGCAACAGAAAAGATCAATGAAACTAAAAGCTGGTTCTTTAAAAAGATAAAATTGACCAGCCAAGAAAAAAGAGAGAGGACTCAAATAAATAAAATCAGAAATGAAGAGGAGATGTTACAACTGATACCACGGAGATACAAAGGGTCAAAAGAGCTTACTACGAATAATTACACACCAACAAATTGGACAGCTTAAAAGAGATGGATGAATTCCTAAGGGATTAAGAGGTACAAACTTCTAGTTATAAAATAAATAAGTCATGGGGATGAAAAGTACAGCATAGGGAATACAGTCAATAATATTATATAATATTGTATGGTGACAGATGGTAACGACACTTAGCATGGTGAGCAATGCATAATGTATAGAATTGTTGATTCACTATGTTGTACACCTGACTAATAGAACATTGTATGTCAACTATACTTCAGCATTTTTTTAAAAAAGGAAATAAATGAATGAATGAATGAATGTTTAAAAGTTCCTAGAAACATACAACCTACCAAGACTGACTCATGATGGAATTCACAATCTGAACAGACCGATTACTAAGGAGGTTGATAATTGGTAATCAAAAAGCAACCAGGGCGCCTGGCTGGCTCAGTCAGTGGAGCATGTGACTCCTGATCTTGGAGTCATGAGTTCAAGCCCCACATAGGGCCTACAGCTTATTTTAAAAACAAAAACAAAACAAAAACTCCCAACAAACAAAAGTCCAGGTAAATTCTACCAAACATTTGAAGGAGATTTAATACCAATCCTTCTCAAACTTTTCCAAATAACAGAAGATGAGGGAACTCTTCCTAATTCTTTTTACGAGGCCAGGAGAACCCTGATACCAAAACCAGACAAGAACACCACAAGAAAAGAAAATTACAGGCCAATATCCCTGGTGAACATAAATGCAATAATATTCAACAAAATACTAGCAAACCATATTCAACAGTACATTAAAAGGATTATACACCATGATCAAGTAGGATTTATTCCAGGGATGCACGGATGGTTCAACATCTATAAGCCAGTCAATGTGATATATCACATTAACAAAATGAAGGAAAAATCACAGGGAATATTGTTTGACCTTAAAACTGTCAAACAACCACTGTTGAAACCCTGCCTGCTCCTTCTACTGCTTGCATCAGTTTTACTTCACGAAGATCATCTCCTGAACAGAAAGTTCCCCCAAGTCTTCTCCCTCTCATCAATATGGCATGGTGATCTGAACACCGACATGTAGTAGAGAATGCAAATATAATATCTTCAACCCTAAAACTACTGAACATAACTAAATTTTCTCAAGTGAATCAAATGATTCTTTGGGACCTTGCAGTTGCTTCTAAGTCATCATTATCATTATCTTATCCATGAATCAAAAATAATGCTTAATAAACCAAAGAAAAGACAACACAGAGGAGAATCTCCATAAAACCAATCCTGCTTGTTTTTTCGGTCCACATCTTCCACTAGACTCTTGACCAAGGTTTCCCAACCTTAGCATTATTGCCATTTATGGCTGGATAAATCTTTGTTGTGGGTGCTGCCCAGTGCATTCTACGACGTTTAGCAGTGTCCCTGGCCTCTACTTACTAGGTGCCAGTAGCATCTCCCACCCCACAGTGTCTCTAAACATTGCCAAATATGTCCTGTGGGACAAAACTGCCCCCATTTGAGAACCACTGCTCTAGACCCAAACAATATTTGCTAACTGTAAGCTCAAAAAGCAAAATAATGATAACAAATTGAGGGCCTTTAAGAAAAAAGATCTGTTTTAACAAGAGATAATGAACCACTAAAAACTGAATAAAATTCTCTGCATTTCTGTGGAAGAGCCAAAGGGCAAAAAAAAAAAGAAAGCAATCAGATTCCATAGGAGCAGTGAATCAAATTCTAGGACAAATGATGAAGAAATCAGAACATCTGAAAACCATGAATAATACCCAATGAAAAATAAATATGATTTTAAATGTATTTAAATGTATTTAAAGTGAAAAGCACAGATGTAGAGTGCATTTGATGCTAATTTCATCAAATATAAGAAATATTAAATAAAAATGCTATTTGTGGGCACCTCGGTGGCTCAGATGGTTAAGCATCTGCCTTTGGCTCAGGTCATGATCCCAGGGTCCTGGGATTGAGTCCCGCATTGGGCTCCCTGCTCCTTGGGAGCCTGCTTCTCCCTCTGCTTCTCTCTCTCTCTCTCTCTGTCTCTCATGAATAAATAAATAAAATCTTTAAAAAAAAATGCTATTTGTGGTAATAGGAAGGAGAAAGGAATTCAAAATAAGTCACAGGAGATTTCAAATATTAAGTCTAATAAATAAGTTTTTGACTACTGCCAATAAAGCCTAGGATTTCACTTTTATAGGGAAAAATACCGTAGCATTCTCACTGTATCCACTAGTATTCTTAAAAAACACACTCTCCCAAAAAGAACATACTATAACTCAGTTTAGAGAATTATTTTCAGTTTTTACATTGTTTTGGTAACTTTGAATTCATCACAATTTAATTTTGATGGTAAGGCAGACTACTTACCTTGGTGATTAATAAATTTAGTAAGGTCAACATTATTCATTTCCCCAATAAAGGCAGGAAAACTACAGGTCATATTAAAAAAACAACACTATCAACAGAGCACAGATAACCTCTTTCGAATTGGGGCCATGTGACGGAGGCTTCCAAGTAAGGGCCGCTCTTCCAGGGTCCAACATTCTATCAGCTCATGAGGCACCCGCCAGTAGCTAACACCTGGAAGATAAAAAGGCATAATTAAGAGAGCCACTGTCCACGGCAAAAGGTTTGGCAGCACTGTTTTGTGGAAGACTAGGCAGAAAGAGTCTGAAATTCATGCCTCCCATCTGAAGAAGGTAGGTGTACACAGCAAGTGTGCCCGAGAAGAGCCAAGGTAATAGCGGCCCAGCTCATAAGCCAGGTCTAGGAATTGCCGCCTACCAGCCCCAGCTCCACCACTGATCATCAGTAGGTCGTCACACGGGTCCTGGGCAGAAGAGTGTGTGCTGTTAAAAGGCACGGGCTCTGGAGCCAAGACTGCCTGGGTCTGAATGCCACGTCTATCACTCACTGATCATGCGACCTTGGGAAAGTTACTTAACTTTTCTGTGCCTAAATTTTCTCATCTATGAAATGACAATAATGGTACATACTTCATAGGTTGGTTGTGATGATTAAATGAGTAAATAAACGCAAAATGCTTAGTATACTTCCTGGCACTTGAACACTTAAGAGACGTTAGGTGCCTTTATTTTATAAATCATAGTGTTGACAGTCGTGTAAGGGTTGGACAGTGAGGGTTCTAACTCCCACCCTATCCACCTCATTGGGCTGCAGTAATCATCAAGTCAGGTATATTTTGTGAACCACTCTGTAAAAGGCAACCACTATATAAATATGAGTGATCACTACCCTATAAGCACCTTTTCAAACAAGGATAATCTGAGTTAATGTGTTAGGCCAAGATTGTGGTCAAACTCATTTTAATTTTTAAATCAGGTAAGTTTCTGAATGAAAGTTGGAAATGTATTTTTATGAACCTCAAAAACATTATGCTGAGTGAAAAAAGCCAAACACAAAAGGTCATTATATTGTATGATTTCAATTACAGGAAATATCCAGAATAGGCAAATGCGTTCAGACAGAAAATAGATGGGTGGTTGCCGGAGGCTGAAGACAGAAGAGAATGGGGAGTAACTGCTTACAGGTGCTGGCTTTCCTTGTGGGGTGATGAAAATGTTTTGCAACTAGATAGAGATGGTGGTTATACAACATTGTTAACATAGTAAATGCCACCGAAGTGTATACTTTGATTTTATGTTATGTGAATTTCACCTCAATTTAAAAAAAAAATCACAAAAAAGTATATATAGATGCATTTTGCATTTTAAAGGGCTTAAAAAATAACGTTGAATAAAAAATTGGCATTTTTTAAAAAAGTAACTTTGAAGTCCCAGGAATGGATACGGTATCTTGCTTTTTTTTTGTTTGTTTTTTAAAGATTTATTTAGGAGAGAGAGCATGAGCAGGAGGGGCAGAGGGAGAGGGCAGAAAGAGAATCTCAAGCGGACTTCACGCCAAGTGCAGAGCCCAATGCAGGGCTCGATCCCACGACCCCAACCTGAGCCAAAACCAAGAGTCGGATGCTCAACTGACTGTGCCACCCGGGCACCTGTGGTGTCTTGTTGTTTAATCATTAAAGATTTAGTGATAAATATTAACCAACTTAGCAAGGTGGGCATATAAATTATTATAATAGACATATCCAATACTCACAGAAGCCTATGGACCTCATTTTAAGACAATAATTTTCTGGAACTGCTGGATCCCAAACCTACTTAAGCTATAAAAACATTCCCAAATCTCATCCATTAAGACTTTTTTAAAGTCAGGTTTACTGAGATATAATTTACATAAAATAAAATTCTCCCTTTTAAAGTATTCGGTTCAATGAGTTTTGACAAATGTATACAAGTCATGTAATCATAGCCACAGTCAAGACATAGAACATTTCTATCACCCCAGAAGTTCCCTTGTACCCCTTTGCAATCAATGCCCTCCCCTCCATTCCCTAGTTTTGCCTTTTCAGGGGTGGCATATAAACGGAATCATACAGTATAGAGCCTTTTGTGTCTGGCTTCTTTAGCATGATGTTTTGAAGATTCATCCATGTTGATATAGACATTAATGATCATTTTTTTTATTGCTGAGTAGTATTCCATTATATGGATACACCATAATTTATTTTAAAAACTTTTATTTTTTTCCTGCCTATAAAGTAATTCAGTTTCATTGTACAAAATTTGGATAATAAAGAAAAGTACATATAAAAAAAAATCAAGATCGGGCGCCTGGGTGGCTCAGTTGGTTAAGTGTCTGCCTTCAGCTCAGGTCATGATCCCAGGGTCCTGGGATCGAGTCCCATGTTGGGCTCCTTGCTCTGCAAGGAGTCTCGTTGTCCCTCTGCCGCTCCCCCCACTCATTCTCTCAATCTCTCTCTCTCTCTCAAATAAATAAATAAAATCCTAAAAAAAAATCAAGATCAATTCTAATCCTAAAACTAGGAATCATGGTTCATGACACTTTGATGAATCTGTTTCTAGTCTTTTTCTTATTCATACGATAGGCACCTAATTGAAAACACTTTATATTTAATTTTGTTTCCTGCTTTTGATCATTCCATGACAAGCTTATTTTATCATTCATCACACTGGCATTCATCTATGTAAAAAATTATTCAAAATAATTTTAATAGCTATGCTCAACTATTTCCCATAGATGTACCAGTATGTATTTAATTCTCTATTATAGACATTTATATTGCTTTTATTTTTTTCTCTATTATGAATAATGCTTAATTGAACAATCTGTTCATAAACCTTTGTCTGCATTTGATTATGACCTTAGGGTAGATACCCAGAAGTAGAGTTACCGGGTCAAAGAAAATGAACAATTTTGATGTTATGGATATGTAATGATAAATTATTTTCCATTAAAGTAATATTAACTTTTACTCCTGCCAAGAATTCATGAGAGATCTTTACTAATCTGGTATGAAAAAATAATCCTCATTTAATATGTATTTCATTGATAAATAATGAGTTTGAACCTCTTGCCACATGTTTATCTACTTTCCTGGAAATTCTGTGGTCATGAACCTTGCACATTTATTTACAATAGGGGTTGAATTGATTTGCTAATCAACTTAAATAAATCTCTATTTTAGGGATATTCTTATCTCTAAATATAATATTTTTATCTAAGTTTTTATTAGCCCTTTATTTATGCATTTTTGTTTTAAAGTTAATATATTAAATATGATGTAATCAAATTTATTCATCTTTGTCTTTATGATTTATTTTCCTATTGAGAAATCAGTTATTTGCTTAAGTTTCATTGTAGTTTATTATAGCTTCATTTTTCATCCATAAATTCACCTGGGATTATTTTGATAAATGACATGAGGCTAAAGTTGTTTTCTCCCAAGTATATTTCTCATTTATTAAGTTATCTATCTTTTTACACTGATATTTAATACTCATCACATGGTATTTTTATTCTTGTAAGTTCACTGGGGTTTACTTCTGATCTCTGCATCTATTCTTGCACCAGAAATATATGGTTCTTCTTATTACAACTCTCTCTACAGTATTTTTACTATCACACAGTTATAGACTCATTCCTCTAATGACTTCTACTTCCCAAAATGTTCCTATTTCACTGGCTTATTCTTTCAAAAAATTTTGGAATCATTTCCTCAAGATTCCCAAAGAGTTCCACTGATATTTTGGTAGGAATTGCATTAAACCTGTAACTTAATCTGAGAGGAACTGACGTCTTTATAATGAATATTATAAAATCTGTCTGACTAGCTTTCCCATTCGGGAGCATGGTATGTCTCACCATAATCTTTGTCTTCTTTTTTTATAGATGGATGGATGAATTGATGGATGAATATATTTTAGCAGTCTTCACAAAAGACTCCACAAAAGCATTTCTTGATAGGTCAGTCCTAGTGATTTTGTCGTTTATTGCTATTGTGAATGGGATTTTCTCCTGTAAATTCTAACTAATCTATCATAAGTAAGCTGGTCTTTGTTTACTTATATTGTATCCAGCTAGTTTGTTCTACTCAACTCATCATTTAAAATACCTTTAGTTGATTCCTTTGGGTTTTCTAAAAAGACATACTGTCCCCAAATAATAACTGTCTTCTTCCTTCTAATAATTTTTTCTCTTTCTGTTTCCTGTCTGATGGCTTTGCACAGGCCTTCCAGAACGGTGTTAAATACCAATGATACTTCGTTACATGCTCCCAAAAAGTCAAAATCAGTCTTCCACTCTGTGAGCCAGTAATAGCAGCTCTTCCCTTCAGCCTCCTGGGTCAGTGGAGAAAGAAGCCCAGTCAGGGCCCCCCCAAAAAACCTCCGGGGCCATCTCCCAGTCCAGAGCCACAGAGAACACCGGGGGGTTTGTTCCTGAAGCCTAAGTGTCTTAAAGTCACTTAAATCTAAAATGAAAAACTTAAAGAGAATAGCACTTGTTTTCTATCTGTTTGAGGGGTCTGATTTAGAAAAAAAAATAAAGGAGGAAAAGTGAGGGGGACAAAGTCCAGGAAAGGAAGAGGGTTGGTGCAAGCACCTCGTCGGAAAGAGAAACAGGTGACGGCAGAGTTCTGAAAAGCCCCCCCGCCTTTTATTCAACCTCACGAGACTTGCAATGTCTGTCTCTACCAGCTTTTAAGATCATTTGAGGACCAAGATGTGTCCTATTTATCTGTGGAACCAACTTTAGGACTTCTTATAGGGTTTGCACCTAAGAGACACTCAATACATACTTGTTAATTAAGAGAAAAAAAACAAACTTAGGCATAGAACAGTTAACCCTCTGAGATCCTTACAAGTGGCATGGCCTCTCTGAGACTCAGTTTTCTCATCAGTAAAGTGATAAACAGCATCCAGAATTGTTTTAAGACTAAGAGGTGCTGAATGTAAACCACTTATCACACTGGATCCTAAACAGCATTATTATTATCAAATGATATGAGCAGTTGGGAAAAATGGTCAAATTTCAAAGTGTGCATTTAAGGATGAGTGTTTCCTGAGTGTTCTTCAGACATCTTCTGTGGCATTATTTTCATTTTCTCTCTTTTTTTAAATTTTTCCTTTTTTTTTTTTTTTTAAGATTTTATTTTACTTTTAAGTAATCTCTATACCTAACATGGGGCTCGACCCTGAGATCAGGAGTTGCATACTCTGCCAACTGAGCCAGCAGGTGCCCCTCCTTTTTTCTTTTGATTGTACATTGTATGCTTACATTAAAGGTATACTTCCTAGGAACAATGCTAGGTACACAGTAGGTACTAAATAAACTGTTGTTTAATTGAACTAAATAAACATAACTAACAGATGCTGAAATTATAAACTATTTTTTAGGTTACTGGATTATAAACTATTAGTAATAGCTAGCAACTCGGGGATCTAAAGATTTTTTTTTAAGATTTATTTATTTATTTTAGAGAGAGAGAGAGAGCAGGGGGAAGGGGCAGAGGGAAAGGGAGAGAGTGTCCCAAGCAGACTCTGTGCTAAGCATGGAGCCTGACGAGGGGCTAGATCTCATGACCCTGAGACCAGGACCGAGCTGAAACCAAGAGTCAGACGCTTAACTGACTGAGGCACCCAGGCGCCCCAAGAGGTCTAAAGATTTTTTTTTTTAAGATTTTATTTATTTATTTGATAGACATAGTGAGAGAGGGAACACAAGCAGGGGGAGTGGGAGAGGGAAAGGCAGGCTTCCCACGGAGCAGGGAGCCCGATGCGGGGCTCGGTCCCAGGACCCTGGGATCATGACCCGAGCCGAAGGCAGACACTTAACAACTGAGCCACCCAGGCGCCCCAGGTCTAAAGATTTTTAAGTAAACTGCCTCAATCAATGATATTATGAGGTGGCAAATACACAAAGAAATACTTGACCTATACAAAGAAATACTTTCTAAAAAAGAGAAATGCAGCATTTGTGCTTACTTTGTTTTATTAAGGAAAAGTCTACCTTCTGCCACGAAATAAAAGAATTGTACTATACCTTTTCCTTCCCAGGCATCAAAGGCATCCATCATTTTCTTCAGTTCAGCTACTGAATAATAGCTCCAAATGTACTGAACATTATTTCCCGCCTCTCTAGAAATATTGCAAAAGGTGATGAAAACATACTACCTAAGTATGAATGTGTACACACACACACACACACGTATAACTAATAGATACTCACCAAGTGCTTGTTAATTAAGGGGAAAAATATATTGGTATTGAATAGTTGTTCTTCTGTGACCCTTCCTTAAGCATATAGATAATATACTATGTATCATATACTGTGAGTATAATATACTATACTCATGCTAACCTACATCTGATCTCTTTTTACTGTGGTAAAGTACTTGTTAATTCCACAATATAGACTGTGCAGACAAATCAACAAATTTTTAAAAATAAGTTTTTTAAAAAAATTACCTAACCCCAGGAAAATTTTAAAAGATCCACCTTTGACTAAAACTTTCATAGCATTATGCCAGGCACTTATATATCTTATATAAACATCCTGTAAAGGATTCAGAAAACAATGACATATTTAATCACCTAATAACCAAGTTCATGTGGTCATTCATTGGTCACTAATATGTGACCCAATCCAACCATCCAGAGAATTAAAAAAAAAAAAGGACTGCTAAGTGAATTGACCAATGTTAAGTAAATTTACAGAAAAAGTATTAAGAGAATAACCCTTAAGAATTTGACATGTTCGAGTTATAGAATTTTAAGGCTGGGAGGGACCAGGGAAGTCCTTCATCATTTCTCAAAACAGGACACCAAGGCACAGGCCAGTTCTGTGTCACTTGGCAGGCCTGCTGACTTCTGAGCAGTGCTTCTGCTCCTGGACGATGGTCCAGCGGAGACAGCCAGGCAGGTGGCTTTGCTTTTCTTTCTTTTCTTTTTTTCTAAAGTCTCTCAGGGGCTTCTGATGCCCACTCCCAGTTGAGAGGCAATATACTAGACCACCGTGGATGTCCTATAGCTTACATATACGTCATGAAGTGGGCCGGTTTCACCAGCCATGAGGGCTCACGCTGTGTGTTGCCCAGCGTTGATGATCTTCTCTAGTCAACCACATACTCCATTCAGTAACACCTCTTACAAGACACTAAGACTTTATTTTGTTCCTTTTCATATTTAAATATGGACATACCTTTTAAAAATGCTTTTACTGTGAATTCTTCCTCCCAGCTGCTTATCAATAGCATCTGTTCCATCAGTTTTTGTGGAATATACACCAATAATTCTACTCTCACAGCTTGCACCAGATGTGTTAAGATAGTGAAGAACCCAAACTGTTGGCTTATTGCAAACTAAACCATATGAATCACAGAAGTCTGTTAGAGCCTGGAGCAAAAAAATATACAAAATTTGAATTTAATTCTGGAGTAAAGTAAAAATTGATTTGCTCTATTACCAGTTGGTCATAAGGGAAATAAAAGATTATGAATTTCGGCCTAGTCTTTATGCCTTGAAAAACCAAACATGCTTTTGTTGAATTTGGGGTGGGGGTGGGGCAAATCACAAAACGCACCACCCAAAAACCCAACACCTTTTCCTCTACAGAATTCTTTTCCACACAGAAATTGTATTTTCCTTCCTCCTCCTTTAGCCTCACTACCAATATTATTTTTAATTTTAAAATCTTCGTATGACTAAAAGACCTTTCTCTTTTCCCTTTATTTTCCCCCAATTTCCCATTTGACTCAATCTTCTTTTCACCTTCTACTGACTAAGCCTCATGGCTGATGCTTATTTTTAACTCCACGTCCAATCATAAATTAAACAGATTAACTTGTTCTTTTCCACTGAAAGATATGAATATACAAACTCAATGCAAACTATAAGAACTCCTTTGGCTTTTATCTACCTATTCATCCATTCACTTCAATATTAAGAAGGTACTAATGTGGTGAGTGGTGTCTAAGGTCCTGGATCCAGCGTCCCAGCCCTCCTTGAGTTTATAGCTAAGGTAAAAGACAGACAGTTGACAAGCTGTCAGGACACAGTGTAAGTGCTACCAGGTGAGCCGATGAAGTGCTAAGAGACACAGAGCAGTAGGACTTCGCCCAGGGGAGTGGCAAGGGCCTCCCCTGGGAGAAACAGCATTATTCCTGCGAGCGCCCTGAGGACCGGCACTTTTGTTTGCTTTGTCTAGTATCCCAAGGGCGTGGAATAGTGCCTGACACAAAGGAGACGCTTAATATTTACTGACTCAAGTGAATGAAAATAGGACACTAACATGTCTTACGTTTTCATTTAATATTGCTATCTAACTGTATGTTGTATTTCTTTGTGTCCCACACAGTCCCTAGAGCAGTGCTCTATACACCTAAGACATTTGAGATAAATATGTTGGCTGACATAGTGAATGTGCACATGCTGTGTCCTCTTTGCATATAAAACAGAAATAAAAGACTATAGAGTTGAGACTTCAGAAGATGAATGTTAACCCACCCCAACTTTCCAGTCAGGTGTTTTAGCCCCAATCTGCAGATGTGGCAAACAGCACCAAATAACTGTTTGACGACTCAATTTCTAAATAACTTCAGTAGCAGAACCCATACAACCGTGCAAATCCTGAAGGCGATCTGGAACCAAATCAAATTTCTCTTCATGCTACACTCCTAATAACCATACTGTCGGCTTGCTCTCCTAAGCCAATGTCCAAATCAAATCAATTCATATCAGTTTTCACTATTATTAATTATCTAGGAAAAATATTTTCCTTTTAGATCCCTAAAGGTGCTAAAAGCAAATATAATACTTATCAATAAGACAAAAACAGGTAATGAAGCTTTTTAAGTTATGTAAAGATCTTTAAAATGTGATTTAAAGGAGAAGCATCTTTAAAAAAAAGATTTATTGATCTCAAAGTGAATTAATCAAACCGATGTTTTAACTTAGTAACAAACTGCTACACTCACTAAATCAGGTTGGAGATGTTATACAATCATTTCTTTATCATGACCATTCTTTTAAAAAGTCATTTCAGTAAATAAAACCCTATACGCTTATATACTACAGTATTGCTGTTAATTTACAAAGAACCTAAAGAGCAGAATATTTCTATCTAAAAAGCCATCAAAAGACATTAAATCTTCAATGAGAGATAAACACTCCATAAACCTCTGAGTTGCAATGTAATACACTTCCCTAGAACATAGGATTTTGGCCTTAAAAAAATTAGTAGTAATTAAGAAAAGTGTCTTCAAAAGTTAGAAAAAGTAAAACTTTCCCATGTTTGGCTTATGTGGCAACACAGGCTATGCAAAATAACACACATTGCTTTGTGTATTAAAATGTATATATATGTATACATATATATTTTTTAAAACTTAAGAAAATGCCAAGACCTTTTTAAGTTCTATATTTGACCTTAAAGAATATGTCTCCATTTCATTGGCCAAGTGGTCAGACAGGCTGTATGGATAAGGGATGCCAAAGTAATCAGCCTCTTCCTGCAGAGCACCACGGGTTTGCTCATCTGTGGGAATGTGAACTTCTCCGTGAAGATAATCCAAAAGGTATTTAAATAGATGTCCATCACGGTCAATAACACAAGCCCCTAGAAAACATTCAGTTCAAAAATCATTGCATAGATACATATGACCATAAATAAAATTTCAACATGTCAAACTAAAATCAGACCTCTACAATTAGAAACGTTTCTCTCTCACAAGAAAGTTGATAGCTACTGTTCAAATGGGTTTAGTCAAATTTGGTGATCCTCTGTTTTCTCACCTACCATACAGGAAAATGTATTCCGAGGTCCATTTGGGATTTTGGATGCAATGACCATATTCCCACTGTGGCCCTTCAAAAGCCACGGAGACCCCAGACTGCTCCTGAAATGTAAGCTTACCCCTAACCTCATCCCTGCCCAGCCAGGAAAGACGTGTGGAGCGCCTCCCTAATGAGGGCATGCCCATTAATATGTCATGTTTGGCTGGAAGTCAACTGGTAGTGTCACTGACATATAAACCCAGAGCTCCTAATGCTATGCTGGTCCTACTTTATGACAATTTAGCCAAGTTGGTGTGAGGTTACTCAATAATTCCTTTTCTCCCTTGATTAACTTAGAAGCGATTAAGAAACTAAAACTTGGGGACAGAGAAAAAATGCAGTCCCTGCTTACCATCTTTCCACCAACAACCTTCCTGCCCACGGGGCCATCAAGCCCTGGGCGCCAGCCATTGGTGTTTCCCACTCATTCAACTGCCCTTCCGCTGGCAAAGCACTCTCTCAAGACCCAGGGTTACTAACAGCCCCTCATGCTCAAGACTCCTCACTCCCTCTCTTCTGACACAGAAGCCAGAGTGGGTTCTCTGGGCCCCAGAACACCGAAGAGGGGCAAAATGCCTTACTGGCCTTGCTGAGGTTTCTCTACAACCAGTAGTAGGTTCAGTCAACACTGGAGCACTCCAAGCAGGGACAGCAGCACAGATCCCTACCCCACTTCTTCTGGAACACGAGTGTTTAGTCCTCTGCCACTAGGTGACTGACATTTTCTCGTGTGCACGTCAGCCCACACAAGGCTAGGCAGCTAGATGAGGTGGCAGGTTTCACGCTAAAGCTCACTGCCGCCAACTGCCCTGGGAGGAGGAGGGTGGCTGCTTTCTCCAGAGAAATCAGTGTGTTCACCTGACGAACACAGACAGAAGCCTCCATGCCTTTATCCATGGAGTTGCATGGATGGAACAACTTTCCAAATATAATCAGTCACCATACTGAGGTCACGGTAGGCCTTTACATGCGTTCATTGTCTTGTCAACTTGTAGTGACAGCATCACAGATTCTGGAAACTGGTATTTCATTTCTCCACGTATTTAATAAATCTCCATTCAGCCCTAATGGTCTCAATAATTAGTATACTGGTCGAATACATTCTATTGCGATTATGAAAACCAAAGGGAATTTAAACTAGACTATTGTAATGAATATTTATGATCATGCTTACGGACTTTAGATATTTACCCGATTCATCTGTTTTTAGAGGAAAACGACCACTGAACATGGATGCCAGCATTGAGTCTTTAAAGCGGCACAAGGACTCACGTCTGGCTGTGTAAATACAGCCGCCCACATTCAGTCGAAGAATATCTAACACCTTTTCTTCTGCCTTGTGACCTTCCATTGTTCCCAGCAACACCTGAATTTTTGCCTTCAAATGCTTTCAGAAAGTGCAAAACAAGGGTGGTCCTGGTCCACCTCTGTGAAAACAAAGAACAGTCACTGCTGACATTTCCAACAGTACACTAAGTAGATAATAAATACGTTTTAATGTGACTTAAAATAAATCCCTCAGCACTGACAATATTGAAGGACTTTGTATAATATGAAAGAAGTTTGAGATACGTTGGGAAGCTGGAAAACTTTGGCTCAGAGTATTTGTAAATGATAAACTATCACCAACCAAATCATAGCTACTGAAATGATTAAGGAATTAAACAAAATAGTGCATTGTCTGTCACATATAAAGCAAAGGTGAAGTTTGCTTATGTTCTTTGATATTCACATATCTTTTAAAACTACAGTAAGTCTGAGGGAGCTGTCTAGACTGCAGAGGGGGGCAGCATGTAGCATGGGATTAGGCTACGAGGCTCTACCACTTACTGGGGGCGGGGGGCAAATACTTATCTTCCTCTGCCGGTTTCCTCATCTATAGAATGGAGCCTACCTCAAAGGACTATCAGAGGAATAGTGCCTACCTCAAAGGACTATCAGAGGAATAACTGACAGAACATATAAAAAGCTAAGATAAGCTGACAGAACATATAGAACAGTCTCTGGCTCAGAGTAAGTACTCGATAAATGATAAATGTTATCTATAATGATATAAATTTTACCATAAAGTATATACAGAGGGATTGATATTGGCTCTGGAGATTTAAGGAGACATAATAGCAGAAATTATTAACAATGGTAACTGTAGTTCCTAGGTTAGGTAACTAAGGAATATGTAATTTATCAACTGAAATCAGAATTTTATGTATACCAGTAGCCAGACTGGTCCAGAAGAGCAACAAATAACACCTCTAAATCATCTGGCTTCTCCAGTCAAAAATGCCTGAAGCTTTAGGGAAGTTTTAAGGATTTGACTTCTTAATCCTCTCTGGAGATGGATGAACCACAGGTGACTGTGGTGTTTCTATGGAACCTAAAACAATACTGTGATGAAAAACGTACTCCTGATGTAACTGCACATTTCACAGCAAATGTAAAATGGCTGTCAAGAGGCTCAACTATATTCATGGCAACTCACTTTTACTATGTGATCAACGAGCATCATTTTGTAGATGCTCCAATTTAGCCAATCTCCAATGATTTGGGAAAAGGAGACCACTGGTGTCTGACGAAAACAATGTGTGTCAAACATGGTCAGCTGGCGGAAACTCTTATGGACCAATGGTCCGGCTTTCAAAAACCACCTATCAATGTAACTTCTTTGGCTGCCTTGAAGTCCTAGGAGCAACCCGGCAAGGATTCATGTGAGAGAACCACCTCTGAAGCATGGGATGGAACGGGCTCATGCTGCCCCAGTTACCAGCTCCCTGGAATCCGTCTCTTCTTCAAAGCCACAGGCAAATCTCACTACTTGCATGACCTTCCCAAGCATCCCCCAGTTAGAATCTGTGCACAGTCCACCAAATATACTTTGTACCTCTCTCCACATTTTATCTCACTTATTTAATCCCTGACCAAAAGCCCTAGGAAGGCAGAATCTACATCACTCTTAATAACTCCCATTTACTCAATGCTTATTAGGTGCCAGTTACTGCAGGGGACACTTGGCAGACATTACCTAATTCACACAAAAGCCCTACTGGATAGGAATTACTGTCCCTATTGACAGATGATGACACTGGAGAAAGAAATCGAGTGATGTGAGCAGCGTCCACGCTAGGGCTGCCCTGTTGGTAAGTGGTGGAGTCGGCCCCAATCCAGGTCAGCAGAACCAGCTCCAAATTTTCTGCTGCCCCCCACACTGCCTACTTCAGCACTGTTTCATCCCTAAGGCCCCTGACACGGGCACTTAATTCACTAAGCATCTGTCCATCTGAAGACTTCTGTTGTGACAAGAGGAACACAGCAGCACCCTGAGTGCAAGGATTTTAAGAGATACCCCTGCCTCAGTCAGTTTCTCCTATGGCAGAGAACTATCCATCACCATTTCAAGGCCAGTCTCGAGGCCCCATCCTCAAATGCACCCACTTAGACTCCCTGCCGTGTCAGAAATGCCCTGCTCTCTGGGGAAGTGCCCCCAAAGTGCGCTTCTGTGACCCCCTGCATCAAAACCATCAGAGTCGCTTGCTGTAAATTCAGATTCCCGGGCCAAAGCACAGAGTCCGGTTCAGAAAGTCTGAAATAAGAGTCGGGAGTCCGCACGCGGACCCCACTTTGAGAAACGCTGCTCAGGGCACTAGCACTCCTCCCACGATGCGGGACGAAAGGGGGAGGGGCTGGGACACCTCAAAGCCCCGCCAGGGTCTCCCCGCTGCCCGGGAGGCCCCGAATCGGCCCGAAGCCCGAGACTGCAGCCCGGGGCACCCGTGATATCGGCGCGATCCGGGCCCTTCCTCGGGGCGCCCCGCCGCCTCCCGGGCCCGCGGCCCACCCGGCGCCCCGGTCTTCTGCACGGGCGGGGCCGGGTAGGCGGCCTCCCCGACTGACCTGCGGCCCGCCCGGCCCTCAGCGCGGCCGCCGGACGCCGCGGGGCCCGACGCGGAAGTAAGGGCCTCCTCGGCGGCTCGGCAACTCGTGGAGCAGCGCGGCCCCAGCGGCGCCCCCGTGCGGCCCGGCCCGGCGGCGACTACAGCCGGAAAGAGGGAGGCCCCGCCCCAGACGCGCCCCGCCCCGCCCCGCCCCGCCCCTGGGCTGGTCCCGCCCCTCAGGCCGCCTCAGCCGGCGAGCTCCGGTAGGGCGAGAGTGGGAGGGCTCCGTACCTGCCGGAAAAGGCAACAACTGGCCGAGAGACGCCGGCTCCACCCCAGAGGAATGTCGTGTCCGTGCAGAGGCTGCTTTCACACGTGAGGGAAAGAAACAACACCGAAGTTGCGATTATTCGGGGTCAGTTAAGTGGTACGAGTTGGGAAGAGTTATGTCTTCTCACCGCCAGGTGAGGGCCGTTCGCTCCAAACTGAGCTACTCAATGCCAAGATTTAGTAATATACCGCATGCACTTGGGTAAGTCCATTAGCTGTGGACCAGGCACTCGGAGTGAAGGACTGAACAGGACCATCAGTGCCCCTGACCCATGGCACTCACAGTCTAGTGCAGTGGTCTGAAAACCTTTCCTGGGTGTGCCTGGCGGGCTCGGTCGCTTAGAGCATGTGATTCTTCGTCTCGGGGTTGTGAGTTTGAGCCCCATGTTGGGGATAGAGATTACTTAATAAATAAAAGTTTAGAAAAGAAAACTTTTTCTGTAAATGTTCTAGGCTTTGTGGGCCATATGCAGCTACTCAGCTTCGCTGTTGTGGTGTTAGAACAGCCATAGATAATGCCTAAATGAAAGTGACTGTGTTCCAACTCTATTTATGGACACTGGAATTTGAATTTCACATAATTTTCATGTGTTGTGAAATATTCTTAAAAAATTTTTTTCAAACTTAAATACATAAAAACCATTCTTAGATCCTGGGCCCTACAAAAACAATTGGCTGCCTATGGGTCATAATTTGCCTACTGCTGTTCAAGTGGGAGAAACACACTAAGCGAAATGGTTACAGATAGTGGTAACTACTTCAGAGGGAATAGGATAATATTGGGTGGAGAAGACCCTGCTGATGAGGGGACATTTAAGTTGAGCACTTAGGATGAAAATGAGCCCACCCTCTGAAGAGATGGAGGAAGAGTAATTTATGAAGAAGAGAGAGCAAGCGGAAAGGCCCCAAGGCAGGAAAGGATTTGACAATTTGTAGGAAGAGAAAGGACACTAGTGTGGCTGGAGCTTGGTGATGAGCATCGGGGCTAAAGGAGGAAGGTGATATGAGGCGGAGCTAAAAAGACAGGCAGGACCCAGGTTTTAAAGTATCCTGTGGCGGTCGTGGGAGTTTAAATTTTACCCTAGGCATTGTAATGGAAAGCCATCGAAAGGTTTTAAGCAGGGAAGTGGCATGATTTACTATAAAAATAAAAAATCACTCTGGCTACTGTGTTGAGACTGGATTGGAGAGTAGGCAGCTGTTGCAATAATCCAGGGGAGAAATGGCATAGCTTCTACTCAGTGATGGTGGTAATAGAGAGGAGCGGATGGCTGCAAGAGGTATATTTAGGAAACAGAAATAACATAAAATTGCTGACAGTTCAGCTGTGGTGTGTTAGTTCAGGTTCTTTGAGAAACAGACCATAAGGTTAGATTAAATGTGCAAAAGACTTATTGGGGAAGACACCTGCGAAGGAAAAACGGGGAGGGCTCTGAAGGGGACTGGGAAAACCTTTAGACTGGATGCTGATTCAACTCTCATGGAGGACAGGAGAAAAATGGGTAGGAAAAGTTGTAGATATGATGCAATTCTAAGAATCTTTCAAGAAAGTCAATGGGGAGTCCTCAAGCCAATGTCCCGCATCAGAGGAGTCCTATGTCTTCCAGGAATGGGCCTCCTTTACTGACCCTGCCTCACTCAGTCACTGGCTGGGAGCAATCCATGGGAAACGCAGCCTGGATCATGGTGATAGATTTCAGAGCACAGCAACTGGGGCCATCAGCCAGTAATGCTCCCTGTGATCAGAGATCTGAGCAGTGTGTTTTCATGGCTGCCACATATGGGAAATAAGGGAAAGGGAAATTGCAGGATCACTTCTAATTGTTGGCTTGAACAACTGGATGATGGTGCCATTTACTGAAATGGTGACTTACGAGAGAGATTAGAAGCTGTATTTAGGACTATAATGATTGAGATGTTTAATAGACATCCAAGTAGAGATTGAATAGTAATTGAATAAATCTGGAATCCGGGAGTGAAGTTCTATGCTAAAGGTGTGAGTTTAGAAGGCGTCAGCATTTAAAGCCTTGGGACTGGATAAAATCACCTATGCAAAGAACAGGCAAATAAGAAGTAGCATGGAGCGCTGTCTCCAATATTTAGAGTTCAGGCTTAAAAGGAAAAGCCAGAGGGGAGGAGAGTATGGAGCTACAGAGAGGAAAATGTCATTTCTGTCAAACACTGCTCAGAGATCAAGAGTCCATTAGATTGGATAATATGGGCATTCTTGGTAACCTTAACAAAAGCAGTTTCAGTGCTGTGATGAAGATGCAAGCCCAGATAAAACTGGGCTGATGAATGAATGTGTGATGGGAAACTGGTTATAAAGCTATAGAGAAGACCTATAGTAAGGAGAACGAGAGAGAAGTGGGGCTGTAGTTAAGGTGGGATGCGGGATTAGAGAAAGAAGCTCTAGGATGAAACTTACTAGAGCAGATTATGCTGATGGGAATGATTCAGTGGAAAGGTAGAGATTGGTGATGCAGGAGAGAGAGTGGGGACCACTGAAGGAATAAGATACTTGAGAAGGCAAAAGGGTACTGGAGCCAGAGCACAAGTGGAGGAATTTCCTTTCTTTTTTTTTTTAAGTTTTATTTTAATTCCAGTTAGTTAACATACAGTGTTATATTAGTTTCAGGGGTATAATATAGTGATTCAACAATTCCATACAACACCCGGTGCTCATCACAGCAAGTGCCCTCCTTAATCCCCATTACATATTTCACCCATCCCCCACCCACCTCCCCTCTGGTGACCATCAGTTTGTTCTCTGTAGTTAGGAGTTTATTGGTTTCTCTCTCTCTCTGCCCTTTGCTCATTTGTCTGTTTCTTAAATTACACATGAGTGAAATCATATGGTATTTATCTTTCTCTGACTTATTTCCCATAACATAATACTCTCTAGTTCCATCCATGTCATTGCAAATGGTAAGACTTTTTTTTCCATTTTATTTATTTATTTATTTATTTATTTATTTATTTGACACACAGAGAGAGAGAGAGAGAGAGAGGGAGAGAGCAAGCACAAGCAGAGGGAGTGGCAGGTAGGGGAGGAGCAGGCTCCCCACTGAGCAAGGAGCCTGATGTGGGACTCGATCCCGGGACCCTGGGATCATGACCCAAGCTGAAGGCAAACAACTGCCTGAGCCACCTGGGCGCCCCCAAATGGTAAGATTTCACTCTTTTAATGACTAAGTATTTTTAAGGCAGATGTCCAAGAGATTACTGCCTGTGTTTTCTTTTAGGAGTTTTATGGTTTCAGGTCTCACATTTAGGTTTTAATCCATTTTGAGTTTATTTTTGTGTTCAGTGTAAAAAAGTGGTTCAGTTTCATTCTTTTGCATGTTGCTGTCCAGTTTTCCCAACACCATTTGTTGAAGAGGCTGTCTTTTCCCCATTGTATATTCTTGTCTCCTTTGTCATAGATTAATTGACCATATAGACATGGGTTTATTTTTAGGCTCTCTATTCTTCCTGTTGATCTATATGTCTGTTTTTGTGCCAGTGCCATGCTGTTTTGATTACTACAGCTTTGTAGTATATCTTGAAATCTGGGATTGTGATACCTCCAGCTTTGTTCTTCTTTCTCAAGAAGCTTGAGAAACAGCTTTGGCTACTCAAGGCCCTTTGTGGTTCCATACAAATTTTAAGATTATTTGTTCTAGTTCTGTGAAGATTGCTATTGGTATTCTGATAGGGATTGCTTTGAATTTGTAGATTGCTTTGGGTAGTATGGACACGCTCACAATTTTACTTCTTCGAATCCACGAACATGGCATATCTTTCCATTTATTTGTGTCGTCTTTAATTTCTTTCTTCAGTGTCTTATAGTTTTCAGAGTATAGGTCTTTCACCTCCTTGGTTAATATTTTTAGGTATTTTGTTCTTGTTGATGCAATTATAAATGGTAGTGTTTTCTTAATTTCCCTTTCTGCTACTTCATTATTAGTGTAGAGAAGCACAACATTTCTGTATATTAATTTTGTATCCTGCAACTTTACTGACCTCATTTATCAGTTCTAATAATTCTTTAGTGAAGCCTTTAGGGTTTTCTCTATATATATGGTATCATGTCATCTGTGAATAGTGATGGTTTTACTTCTTCCTCACCAATTTGGATGTCTGATTGCTGCAGCTAGGACTTCCCATACTGTATTGAATGAAAGTGGTGAGAGTGGACACCCTGGTCTTGTCAGAAAGTATCATACTCGATTTCAAGATCTCAGAGGTATTATCATTACAATGACTATAATGCCAAGGTTCCAGGCGGAGAAGGGGTGGAAGAAAAGCTAATGGCGGTAAGGAGTTTAAGGAATGATTATTTTTAGATGAGTTATCCCCATATGTAGTAAAGTCAACAAGAGTGGAAGGAAAGAAAGAAGATGAAACAGAAGCTAATGTCATCAACAATGGATGATTAGAAGAACCTTAGAAGAGTAAATTGAGGAGATAAGGAGAGATACTATATCCAGATGGCACACAGTTCAGATTAGTTAGGACTTAGAGAAAGGAAGGAGGAAAAAATGTTTGTTAACAGTAATGGGAGAAAAGAAGACAGCAACCCCACCTCCTGACACCCTGATGTATGCAGAGAGTGGAAGGAAAAGCAGTCACTACTTGAGAGGGCTCTAGAGGAGGCAGGCCCTCTAGGAACAGACAAGTTCCAATTAAAAAAAAGAAAAAAAGGCGTGCCTGGGTGGCTCAGTTGGTTAAGTGTCTGCCTTCAGCTCAGGTGGTAATCCCAGGGT